GGGAAGAAAACTCTGGCTAACTCATAGTAGAGGGTAAGGAAGATGATGACAGAATTAAACAGAGCATAGGACTTTCTCTGCTGAGGGCTGAGCATGCACTGATCTATAGATATAGATCTATGCCATGTGGAGTAATTTTATTTCTATATTCATTAAGCAGAATAATAGAAGTAGGTTTTCTCCTGGACCCATGATGTATATAACCTGAGGTTCTTGGTGTAGCCTCATTAACATCGTGTGTATGGGTTCCCTCTCATGGAGTGTGTTTTAAATCTAATTTTAAAGAGTGGTTGATTACTCTAATATTTGCTTAACTGTTGAGTATATCTTTTAGAAGCTTACAATTTTTAATAACAGTTCATAACTGCGTTTTTGTCACAGATTACTTTTCTTCTCTTGTAGTCTGTAGAGCACCTTCTAATACTATGAACACTATATAGTAGTGGTGAAGCTTCAAGATGAATAGGAGCTAGATTTGTCCATGATCTATGTCACATGTATGTGATGTCTTAAAATCAGGTTGTGAGGAATAACAAATACTATTGGAAATAATCCTCAGTATTAAGGAAGTTTAGAGGACCACTTTAGCCAAAGACTCAGAAGATATAACCCATTTATTGGATTTGATAGAAAAGTTTGCCTTGGCCCATGCTTGTGAATATCTACCTAAGGACAGTAACTATGCTTTTACATTTTTTTGCATCAATGACTCTCATAACATGCCCAATGTATAGCAGACATTCAGTTTATCAATATTTCCTGAAATAAAAAATGAAAGGGCAATAGAAACAGCTGGATTTCGTGTGAAGAAACACACATAGGAAGCATATATGTGGGATACACTTTGTAATGAAGTAGTGTATTGTAAACTATGCTTTGTGATGCATTCCATATTCAAACAGTCATGGCATGATAAAGGAAAGTTAGTAGATTGAAAATGAATCACCTTCACTGGGAGGATAAGAGACTGTGAAACTTTCAAGCCCAAGCTGTGGAGAAATACTGTCAGGATGATGGAGAAAAGATATAAAGCAAATCACCAATGAGTCCAAGAAGAACTTGGAGACAGGGAATTATCTTCTGGACAGGTGAGTAGGATTGGAGTTAAAATTATTCTTCAGACAATATTTATTGGATGTAAGTGGTCATAGTTTAAGGGTAACATTGGAAGGAACCTTTGGTTAGGGGCTGGAATCTATAATGACAACATAAGAAGACAAAAGCATTTAAAGTAAAAAGAGAATTAAATGCAGAAAAAACCTCATATGAAAAGAAGACAGGCATCACAGTCTCATATTTTTTGGTCCAAGTGACTGACATTGTCTCATTTTGTGTATTGACTTGGGAAATGAGAAAGATTGTTGCTCATCCTAATACCTATTAAAGCGCTAATGAACACATACACCAGCTCTCTTTCTCTCTGTCTCCCTCTCCCCCCACCTCCTCTCTCCTCTCCATATATATGGAGAGAGGGAGAGAGGCAATTTTTGCCTCTCTTTAATGGCAATTCAGTATCTTCATTTCTGACTATTGGAAAGAACCCAGTTATGGATATAGAAAAACATTATGGTTGTCATGGACATTATGATTGTGTGACTACTAAAAACTGGAGGCAAGTAAACCTCAATATAGCTGCTGTTTTAATAACTTTAGAGTGAAAGAACACAGGACATGAAGTGACTGTTCATTGAACACTAATAACTTTTGAAATATGAATAAAATACTGTTTCTAGAAATAACAAACAAAGTGTGTTGATAGGGGTACATCAATAGAAGGCTTTTAAACAATCATGGTGCAGAACCTGGTTGGGGGCTGGGGTAAGCAAACCGATAGTATGTTAGCCCAGACACTCTGAAGGTTTATTGAGCCTGGGTGGAGGCTGGGGTAAGCAAACCCACAATATGTTAGCCCAGGCGCTCTGAAGGTTTATTGAGTACACATGTGCAAGCAGAACATTCTTTTTCTATGCAAGTTATCCCTGCCAAAAGTTTGCCCTTTTAAAAACCTGAACAATGAATGTTCTCTGCCAAACCTCATCACAGAAAAGTCTAAGACAACAATCCCCACGACTCTGCAAAAAGTGAATACAGCCGAAGACAGAGAGATGTTATTTATTCATCTGTATATCTGGCATTGGTGCTTTTGAACAGCCACTTTACAGGTGATAAAAGCCCTGACTTCAAACAGAGTGTAAGCCTCTTGATTTGAATTGACTTCCCAGTTTAAGATGTAAATTATGTGTCTGATATTCTTTTATCATGCAGATAGCATTGTACTCAAAAGAGTTTGACTACCTTTACTGTCTACTAACCTGCATTAAAAACAATATATAAACATTGACTAGTTTATCATATGGAAATATAACAAAAAGAAATGGTAGACGTTAATGTGGCCAAAATCAACTCTATATTCAAAAATATATCAAGGCCAAAATCAGTAATTGTATTAACATTCAGAGAATTTGTCTTCTGGTGTATGAAGTCAGATTTCAAATTAATAATATTTGGAGATTATTTTCATGATGGGGTTGTCCTCATGTATATATGTTTCTCTTATTGGTTAATGAATAAAACACGGTTTGGTTAATGTGGTAGGGAGATAGGCAGGTCTAGGAGACAAGGAGAATTCTGGAAACGATAGGCAGAATGAGCCTACCACACAGAGTCTTGATGCTTCCTGAGGAATAACACCATTCTGGGGCCTTACAAGGTAAGCTACAGCTTCGTGTCAATACAGAGATAGAAAGAAATGGTTTAATAATTAAGACAAAGACAGCCAATAAGAAGCCCAAGCCACCAGTCAACAGATTCATAAATAATATAGCATCTGTGTGTTTATTTGGGACTGAAGGAGCCATGGGAACCAGTCAGGACAAAGAACCTTATGCTATGTTTTCACTTATAAGCATTTTAAAAAGAAACTAATTGGGTTACAATTAAGTATTCAGAAGCCATCAATTACTTAAAATATGTTCACAGGCTATAAGAAAAACTACATGATTTTCCAAAATATGAATTAAACATGTCTCCACAATTGAAATTAAGAAGTTTTCATTACAATACTACATTGTTTTATTCCTCATTTTGAATGAGTTAAGTTATCACATGTCAGATAGCTTTTGTTTGGCTTCTTAAGACACAGTCACATGTACCTAACTGGTCTTGAATCTACTATATATCATAGTTTGACCTTGAATTCCTGATCCTCCTGCCTCCAGCTGCTGAGTGCTGGGATTCCAAGCATGTACAATCATGGATCAATATAAAATTTTAAGAAAGTTTTCATTTTTTTGCAACAGGGAAAGCCTGAATTTAAAATTCCAGTGAGAGTCAAATCAAATTAGCCATTTGATTTCAATGTTTTTCACAAGTTTCAGCGTTCATGTAATACAGTGGGATGTCACCAGAGGTAGGCTCTTAGTCATGTATCCTGCAACCCGGTCATCAGACTTTTCCCAGAAAAATCTCTCGTGCGTTTTATGTAATGACTCATGTAAATTAAACCAGAGGGAAACGATTAAAGAAAAAAAAAGCAATGCTAAATTTCAGATATTGCATGGTATAACACAAGTTCAACAGAGGCCACTTCTGAATGATTATAAACATGAAGAACGGTGAAGAGTAGAACAACAGAGATGGCAAAATGACAAGGCTTTTGGCTCAACTGTAATAGGTGTTTCCTACAAAACAATAAGTCAGGTGTTCACGGGTTTGGTTGCTGTTGTTCATTTGCTTGCTTGTTTCACTTTGTGATTCTAGAGATTGAATATATGGTCTCACGCAGGCCACACAAGTGCTTTTTCTTCTATCTTGATATGAAATAGAGTCTTGTTAGTAAGATGCCAACGCTAGCTTCAAGATTTGCCATCCTCCTGCCTTAAGCCTCTCAATTCACTGTGATTCCATGAATGTGCCACCACATTTCACAATTATGTTTGAAACGACACTCAAAGCAACAACTTAAGAAAATATATCAACTTTAGACACGAACATTGCATGATATGTTGAAGTTTTATATATAAATCTCTCTTCTTAGAGAAAGAAATAAAGATAAGAAAGACAAATGTATACATGTGTATGAATGCACACATGCATGTAGAAATGTGTGAATGTATAATATAGAATTATATAATATGCAAATGCATAAAATGTATACACATGAGTACTTATACATATATGTATACATTAAATATGATTGATCCAGTAGCAGATGGAAGCCCTCTTTGCTATCAACTATATGTATCAGCAGAAATACAAATATGCCTATGCTTCTAGGCAATTGTTCTTTTTTATGGTTTTTCAAGAAAAGGTTTCTCATGTAACAGATATGGCTGTCTTGGAACTCATTTTGTAGACCAGGCTGGTGTTGTACTCAGTGAAATCCACCCACCTCTGTCTCTCAAGTGCTGGGATTAAAAGTGTGCACCACCATCTGGCAGCTTCTAAGAAGTTTTATGGAAGGTAGAAACTCCTAGGAACCCTTTGACATTCAACATAGTCATGCATAGTTATTACCATATAGACTTTGATGGATAATAATCTTTAATGTATTTGACAGAGTAGATTTCCTGTGGTTGAAAGACAGAGAAAAGTCTAGGTATTCATTCAGTGAGATTGATAAGAATTTTGGAAGGCTAGCCTTTGTCAAGAATTGAAGACATCTGGGAATGATGATGTATCTCAGCAATGTCAGCGTGCAGCAGAAATACAGAGAAAAAGCACTGATTCCTTCAGTCATTTAAGACTGATTCATTGATTGCTAATATAAAGCTTTATTTTCATGACAAACTGCCATAATGTGATTTAGAAGATTTTGGCAATTCAGTATTCTGTCTTTCTTGGAGAAAAAAATAATTATAAGGATAGCTAAATCACTGCTTTTGCTTCTTGATGATAAGATTTATTATCTTTATTATTAACAGAAGAATCTAGCAGTATCAATAGGACATTCGAATTGGAAAAAATAATTAAACATTTAATTAAAAGATCTTGGAACTTACAAGATGGTTTGGCGATTAAGAATACTTGATGGTCTTTCAGAGGATCCATGTTCAGTTTCCAGGCACCACATGGCATTTCACAACCATCTATAGCTGCAGGAGATCTGATGCCTTCTCCTGACCATCTTGGAAGCATATATGACTCCTGCACAGACGTGTGTAAAATAAACTCCCATACACATCACACACACACACACACAAACACACATGCATGCAGACCGACACAGAGAGAGAGAGACAGAGAGACAGAGAGAGACAGAGACAGAGACAGAGAGGCAGAGAGAAAGATCTTAACTCTGATGGCCACAGAATGGCTCACCTTCAGTATGCTTTCTCAATGTATGCTTTAACCATAACGCTTTAGAAGAGTTTTACATTTCTAGAAACATTCAGAAAATAGAGCAATTTCCATAAAACTCACACTAGATTTCTGCATGATCTATATTTTGCATCAATATGGACAATCAATACAACCTAATAAACCATTAAGGAAACTATCAATTACTGAGTTCCAAATTTATTCACAATTTTTCACAAGAATTCTATAGTATATTTTCATTATACACTTCAAGGTTTAATGATATCTCAGACTTTCCTAGTTATTGATGCTATTGTAGGTATGAGGTTTCTAAATTTTCCAACATTGTAATTTGTCTTCAGTTTTTCCTCTGGCTATCACAGGACTATAGATTTAAGAAAGAGCCCAATTTACAATATACACATTTTATCCACTCACATGAAGGGTACATAGTGTCCTTGTGATTTGTGAATGTCATTGTTGAATTTGACAACATGGTTGACACTGAGAGTGAGACAGTGTTCATGGGAATTTACTACTGCACAGTGGAGTCTTTCTTTGCCCCCTACATCCCATGTTCTTTTGGAAAGAAGTCCTTCTCATTCCAAGGCCATTATGTTTCTCGTTCTTACCTCAGTACATGGAATGGATCCAGCTGTGCTATTTAATATCTGATAATTTTATACATGAATACTCTATTTATATCATTTCCACCTTTTACTATACTCGCTCCAGCTTCCCACTTCCTTCATTACCTCTAACTCTTGTTACCTCTTCTTTAATTAATGCTACACACTTTACATACACATATGTGCTTACAAATGACTACTTGGGATTAAATAACTCACTTGGGAGCTTTCAAACCCTGGAGAAAACCTATTTTCCCATTCTCAACAGTAGTTGAGTGCCCGTAGCTCTTCATCCCGGATTGAGCACTCATGAAATAGTCCTAGTCTATATTGGCACATTGACAGGTCTTGTTTTAGGCAACTGTATTTTTGAGATTTCAGGAGTAAGAGTGAACTTCTGAGTCCCATTTTTAATAGTTTATATATGCTAAAGATAAATTTATGGCCTATATTATTGTTCAGTCTCTTTATTATAGTAAGTCCAGAGGATATATCTACTGAGAAATGTACCACTTGTAATTTTAGCTATGCAATATAGTTGTAGTTGTAGTTATATGTACTTATCTCATTTATTTTAATGGGAGTTGGGAAACTCACCTGGATTACAAGCAGCATGATAATCCTTAATGTCTGTTTAAAGTACTCAAGAGTCTAATATTAAGGAGTTGTAGTTAAAGTGCATGATTCATTTAAGAGAGAAAAATGTCAGCCACCTGATGATAGATTATCAGTGTTACTTTTATATATTTAAACAACTTTATTTGCCACATAAGTAAACTTACTTTATTTTAAGAAGCTGAATAGTTAAGTTTTTGTTTTTGTTTTCATTTGGATGTGCTTGCGTGTGCATGTGCTTGTGTGTGTGTGTGTGTGTGTGTGTATGTGTGTGTGTATTATTGTCTCACTACTTTAGGGTGCAATAGTTCCATTAGAATAATTGTCGATTAACTACAAGAACATTTCCACATTAATGCCAGTAATTAATGTCGTGCAGTTTCTAAAGTTTCTAGACTAACGCTGCTCCAGAATCAAGGGATGGAAAGGGGGTTGCTTCTCTTTTCCAAAAGAGTAGGTGATGCAAGTTAAGAATCATGGTCTATTTGGGAAGACCAGAATCATCCAGAGAAGACTCTCATGGTCAATGAGTCATTTCACACTTTCCTTTACTCCTTCCTTTCAGATTAAAGGTTGTATGTATGTCTTATGTGGTATTACAATTGAATAAGCACACTGAATGGATTTACTAATAGAAGGCTAGTAAGCTGCTTGAAAATGCGTGGTTCACTCCTATTAAAATGGTTTAACATAAGTATAATAAAATAATGATAGTGATGGATCAAAATATTTATGAGTGGTATATTTTAGTACATGTACAATCTTCCTAAACACAATTGTGTATGTGTTTCTTGATAAATTATGTAAATGTCTAATAATTAGTCTCTCTCATTACCAAAAGTCAAAATAGCTTCCAAAGTATTGTAGTAGTTTATCAGTATAATTTTATTTACAATAAATTTATTTGACTATTTTTCTCCATATATTTGACTGATTAAATTTAAACTAACCTGTTCACAGATGTAATAGATTAGGTCTTCCCTAATTAATTAGGTTCTTCCAAAAGGTTCAAGAATTTAATAATTTTTTGTAGTATATAACTCTTTCAAGTGCCGGTGTGATAATTATGTTACTGAGTTATCACTAATCCCCGAGTGTCTAAATATGTTAAATGAAAGGGAAAATTTAAATGCAAGAATAATACCTCCTTGCTATAACCAAGACAATAAAGGATGAAACTAGAGTCATTCTGTCAACATTATAGATAATGAAAGCCAGTGTCTATAGAATAATTAATTAGATTTCAATAATGTGTGATGTATGCTCTGTTCTGTATTAACTAAAGATATTAAAAGTTAAGAGAAGACAGATCTTCTCCCTTCAGACTCTTATGACCTAGCCAGGGATTATGAATAACATAAACAAAGAAACAATTGAATTGTTTGACTATAATAGGGATGGAACTTCGAATACATAACTCTAAGGAAGGGCTTGGCCAAAGTTTCCTAGAGGAAGAGAAATTTTAAAAGCCAAAATTTTGAAAAAAATAAAAAACAACCCAAAATTCTAATTTTGTGGTCACCAAATATTTCCAAGTGTCAATAGTTATTACTGTGGCTGCTACTTACTCCCTAACTGTGACAGCTTCCTCTGTTTCAGTCTCAAGGTTTGTGATATGAAAGACTTCAAGACTTTTTAACCTTCCTTGGATAATCTGTGAAGCTCCATATGATCATAGTAAAATGCCAGTAATAACAATTAACAAAATAGATCTTCAGTTCCTCTTGCTTATTAAATACATTATTAAATTAAAAGGATAATTTCCAATGAACAGGTCATGAAAATATTAGACCTTCCAGATGGAAGACCAAATTTAGACAACATCTGTTTTATCCAAAAAAGCGAAGCTGTTTGAAATAATCTAAAGATATGCTACTACTTCTTACAATACAATCACTGGCTTTCCTTTTGAGATGAATTGATAGCCCACACCCACAAAAACATAGTGGAAACTTAGCTCAGCAACTTTATTAAATAGGACATGAATGCTGGGCCAAGAGCTTCTACTAATCCTAGGAGATATCTACTGAGACACCTGGTGATTTCTGCAAATTGTGTGACAGTTAACATGCTATGTCCATGCAATGAACCATATGAAAGGAAAGAACTGGACATCATGAAAGATTCTGCCTTAATTTAACTACAAGTACAAATAAGTATACCTCAAGTCTGGAAAAGAAGGTACCGAACCAATACAACATAGTGACTCAAGTTCAAACCTGTGATACCGTGTCAACCTGTCAGATTTTCTTCCTTTGCCTTTGTCATTGTGAATACACTTGACTTTCTCTGACACTAAAAATAATCTTCACTCTGACATATTGCAGCTGTGCCCATACAAAATGAAAGTCTATGATAACAGTAATAACAACCAGTTTATCTTTGAGCAACGCACCCCTACAAAATGTAGAACAAGTTCATGATGTAAAATTTGCCTGTGGCTAGGTGGTGGTGGCACACGGCTTTAATCCCAGCACTCAGGAGGTAGAGGCAGGCAGATCTCTGTGAGTAAGAGACCAGCTTGGTCTACAAGAGCTAGTATAGGACAGCCTCCAGAGCCACAGAGAAACCCTGTCTCAAAAAACGAAAAACCATTTACAAAAATGCCGGTGAAGGTACTTCTGTGACAGGGAAATCCCAGCAATTATTTTTCTGTCATTTACCTGGAGTTTCAACTGATCTTAATTAGTTTCCTGATAGTCCCAGATATTTGCCTTGACAGACAGTTTTCACCAGCCTTCTCCCTCAGGAAATAAGCAAGAGGGAACCTAGAGTCTAACTTTTAGCCCTCTTTCTAATGAGCAGCAGACACATACGGCAGTATAATAATTGTCAAAATTTGAAGATTTCTGAAGTGTAGCTCCTGGGGGAGGGGTCTGTCATCAAAACAAGTATACTCAGCTTCAGAGTTGCTGTTGAATAAGGATACATTTTTCTTTTAAAAATACTTTAAAGCCATTATACTTTCTAGAATATATTGTAAACACTATAGGTCTGTAGTTTAGTTTTTCTGTACCCATCTTCAACCAATTTCTTTAGTGTTCTTCACATATAAATGGTTACTCATATAGACCTTGGAAAAGACTTTTCTTTCTGTAGAGTCATAGGAAGCTTTCTTAGGTTCCTGAAAGAAGAGCCACCACCACCAAACAAAAGAGCCCCTATAACAGCCTTACTCTTTGCAATGTCTATTTTTTCACAAATATCAACACCATTTTAACTCATTAATGTCACCTCTAAAATGAACAGAGTGAGGATATAGTACATTCACTTTTCAATGTACTAGAAGTATGTTTATTCATTAACCACATAAAAGCCAAATGCAACAATATTAATCTTCCTTTCTTAATCATCAAGAGACCATTTGCACAATATTGAGTGTATTCAAACAGTATATAGAGCACATGGACACAATGGATGTCCGATAAATGTCACTTCCCTTTGCCAACAATTTTCCATTTCATAAGTGGATAAATTCCATGCAAAATGTTGGCAGTCCAAATCAGTCCTATTTCATTGTCTCTCGGCTACCTCTTGGTCCTCTCCTTATCTCATAGCACATCATTTCCTGGCTGTTCTTTTAAGGGTCAAGGTCTGTTCCCATCCGTTGACCCTGGCCAGGCCATCACTTAGTAGTCTGTCAGTGAAAGCCCCACAAGCCAGGACTCCAAGAAAACAGGAGGCTAAAGCAACTTCCAGCAATGGCTGATCACTCCCAATTTTAATCATTACTGCACATCTTCTGGCTTTAGAAAGAGTGGGGGGGCATAGGCTTCCATAAAGTGATGACATATGCCTCCCTCTCTTCCCTTCCGTATCCTCTTTCCATAAGGCAAATGGAGAGGGCTCTGACTGCTCTTGCCCTGGCCTAAGTTGCCATGGGTTACACAAAAGTAGTGGAGGTACCCCGGGGCTGGGGTTGGGGATTGGGGATCTTTTATCATGTAAACTCCTTTCTGTAGGTTGAGTTCTCCATCTTCCCAGTGCCTGTGCATATATTTAAGAGAAACCTTTTCCTTCCATCTTGAGACTGCCCTACCCCTTCCCTGATAGTTCCTGCTTCTTCTTTCTCCTGCAAATAGGAACTCCCAGCTAGTGGGAATGTGACATGAATGTTTTGGGTGGAGAAAGAAGGGTCCACGTGGGGATACTGCATTTTATGAGGGTTTGACACTAAATGGTGAAAAGTTTGCCAATTTAACTCGACAACGTTAATACCTAATGGCTGAGGTCAGCAGCCCCAGTTGCCAGACATGCATCTCTAACCCAGTCCCCACATTCCAGATAACCCTGCCAAAACACAGGGGTGTCTCCTCCTCCGGTCAAGTCTCCAAAGGCGTGGACTCAACCCACGAGGTTGAGCACAAGTCATCAGGAAAGGCATATTGGTTCAGAAAACAGCCCTCGAGGATGCCAGAGCAGTGTGCCACTGTGAGGTAGACTTGGTGGGACATTCCATAGTGCCCTTGCTCATGGGGTTAAATGCCCAGTAGGTGTCATGTCTGAGGTCACAGAGGCTTCCCGGGCTGCAGAACACTTAACCACAGCCTCTTTTCAGCCAGCCAGGTTTCCTGGCTGCTATCTGGCTTCAAATCCTCCACACCCTAGCAAGAGCGATGCGCACTTCTAACATAACGCTTATCTCGATTTCTTTGAAAGAATAAAAGGCATTGTTTCTGCCTTTTCCAAAGTTCCACAACCAAAAAACAACCACCTTGGTTTCATCTGTGTCCCCGGGCTAAAAGGAAAAGGGGCGAACTGGTTTCAGTTGCACTTTGCTTAATTCATCCGGGACCGCCCCTACCAATGCCGCTCTGAATGAACCTGTAATAATAGGGACTGGGGAAGCAAGTCCCTAAGTTCCTTTGCCTGTCCAGCCTAGACCCAGGAGGGAGTATCCAAGAAGAGGGCAAATTTCTCAGGCGCGGCGCCCCGGGGAAGCAAACTTTCAGAGGTGCTGGCTGCCGGAGCTTCAGAGTGAGACCCTGAAGCACAGCAGCTTGGTGGCACTGTGCCCCAGTTGTCGCACTCTCTCGGAAGCGGATCCATGGGCTCCCCAGCCTGTCCCATAGCGCAACTGATCCCCAAGCGCTCTCCGGAGCCTTCTCAGACTCAGGTCCCCACATGCTAGGCGCTGAGGGTTTCTACTTAGGATCCACAGTCAGTCTCACATGCCACCATCCTCGCTCAACACTAAGTCCTCAGATCACCCTCCCACTGGGATAGCAGGTGACGCGGACCCAGACTTACCTTTCTGCCGGCAACTCTGGTCGTTTTTCCCTTCCCTGCGACTCTGGTTCAGGAGAGAGCAAAGGACAGCCGGCGGTGACCCAGACTACGGGACCGCCGGAGACAGGCGCGAGTTCTTGGGAGCCTCAGCCCAGGCTGAACCGCAGGGCGCGGGCGGCCCTGGCGGAGCGCGGAGGCGGCGGCTACTGTCCGGCGGGAAGGCAGGGGGCGCTCCTGTCCCCCGAGCGTCTCTCCGGGCAGACTGTGACCCACCAGTTGGCGCTTTGGCCGGTGAGCCTGGTGAGGAAAGGCACGCTCCAAGCAGGAGGGCGGCTTTTAAGTTTGTGGTGTGACCACAGCAGCTGTCCTGGGAGAGACTCCGTCTTTCTAAAAAGGGGATGCTCAAAACGCCAGGGATTACCTCTCCCTCCAGTCTCCTCCCCCAGCTCCCGGCCCCTTCCGATGATGTGCTGGCAATTCCTCCAGACCTCGCAGGCCTTCCCAGTCTGTGCTGGGCTGTCCAGGGTGGGCTTGGAGGTAGTTCCGGCCGGATCTGTGAGTGTTTTGGGGAGGATGGAGTATTCTGTCAATCAGTAAAACAGCCCGTGTCGTCTCAGTCTGGGTCTGGGTGATTTAGAGAGCCCTGTCTTCCCTTCTCTTTCAGAAAATACCTTAAGACACAACAAGGGCAGTGCCACCCTAAATGCTCCAGACACCTTGGAAAAGTACAGGTGTTTCTTTGTAAATCTCCAGTTAAATTTAGTGGCCCTCAAGGGTTGAGCGAATTAATCCTCCTCGGTGACTGGCACCCAGAAGGACCAGGGTTTACAACATGGAATCTTCACCTTTTCCTCAAAACTGGCCTGAGGTGGGGGAACGTGCTCGCTCTTCCCCCCACCCCGTTCTTTTGTACATTTTTGCAAACCTTAATCACACAAGAATAATTTGGAGGAATACTAACACAAATCCTGGACATATGTTTTGTGGAAACTAAAGCTCCCAAATTTAGAGGTGAAATCCCAAGAAAATCACATATAAATAGCTTACTTTGATGAATTTCTTAAAAAGCAAAGGCTAGTGTAGAGCCATACACAAGGACACGCAGAAGGTCTGTACAGTTGAGTCTTTTAGACGGCGACACGACAAATCCTACCATGAATAGAATTCCATTCCTAACCATGACCTTAGTTGCCACATAGAGCTCCCTTGAAGTAGTCCCCTAGAAACCAAACAACCAGCGGTTCCTGCCTGTGTGCTGAGTTTAAAAATAGATGCTTCAAGGTTTCTGTGCAACTGAAGCAAATGACAAGGGGTCTGTTTGTTAGTTGGGGATAGTTGGAAGACGAGAGCAATGTAATGGAAGAAATCAAGGGAATGAAACAAACTCTTAATTCAGCCTCCCACTAGCAGCTGAAAACGGGACCACAGAAGCTAAGTGAGTCACTTCACATTGTAGGTGGCTGGTGGCAGAGTCGGTCTAATGAGGGGCTTAGGTTTCCTAACTCTGACCAAGTTTCTCTACTATGTCGCATGCTGCTTGTCTCTGTATCTTTGACTTTCCCTGTCACCAGCCAACCCCATAATTTTTCTCATTGCATATAGGAAAACTGAAATCTTCCCAGACTATTTCAACCCATAGCAACTTCTTTCTGAAATTTCCCTGTCAATGTGCCATTCCTCTCATAATTAACCATAACCTTAGCGTGTTTCTTGCATTATCTTCTAGGTTTGTATTGTTTTGTTTGATTACATCATTAAACATTCATCAAAACTCTTAATTCCTTGTGTGGACCTCTTTGTAACTTCCCAAACACAGCTGGGCCTTTTCTCTTGGAGTGTTCATGGTAAGTAGTTCTCCACTTACAAATTATTAATTAATTCTTGAATATTTTGTTGTATTAATGGCTGAAATACTATATCTAACTAGAACTGCTGTTAACTCTGGATTTCCCCCTCCCTCCTAAACCATCCAGTTTAATGTCCTAACACTGAAGGACATTTCTTCATTGCTACCATTTCAACTCTTTTCACAAAGACCCTCTAGCATTAATCACTCCCTCCTGTTTTTCTAAAGCACTTTGATTTCAGTATTATTAGAAACCCTTTTCATGTTATATCATAATAAGTTTGGCATGTGTCTGCATTCAATACAGCCTGTTGGCTGTTTGTATGTTTATTTCCCTAGACTCTAATACAATGCCCATGAATTAGCATTGAACCCTGTTAACTTGAAGTACCCTCAATTTAAATTTTGGTTGAATTTGCTAGAGCCTCTGAACGTACCATGAGAAAAGAACATCTGGGACATGCGTTCTGTGCTTTCTTTCCTTTTAATTACTTTGAGCACGAAGCAGGGTTCCAAATTATGACAAATGGTCTCAGTTTGTAGCTTACTAAGCATTCAAGTTCTTCCTATAATATCCTGAACCTGCTAGGTGTTCAGCTCATCTGCGCATATGGACATATTGGTGAAAACAGTGCAGATGACCAGGGCACTCAGTTGCTGAACTTTTCTGTTGTATTAACTGTACTGTGCTCCAACAGGTTAGCTTTAAATGCTGAGATTACTGTCATCAAAAGACACTGGCTCTCTGTCCTATGGAGTGACACACTATCTTAATCCTTGCAATAACACTTAGGAGAAGGGGAACCACTTACATTGTTTTGCTGAAATATATGGTTCATTGTGTAGTTTAGCTTGAGACCAGGGATAGATATTCAGGATTCAGCAAGCAATCCTTAGTCACAATGGGAAATGTATATCATCATTTAGAACTATCTATCTAGTGTGTTTGCTTCAGGCTGAAGGGAAAATGTAGGGTAGGGAAAACACATTTTTCAGGTGTTTAAAAAACTGTTTAAGCAAATTGTCTATAGAGAATCTATCTGTACAGTGACACACAGAAGATATTACTGGGCTTAGAAGGTCAACCTAACAAGATCTCATCTTTTGGATGTCTTCCCTGAAGGTGCCAGATTGTGACTTTTTTCATCAAACGTACTGTCTCCACCAGTGGATCTTCAGTGATTTTGAAAGGAGAAAAGGGATGAAAGTAGCACTGGAAAATTTATTCCCAGAGACAATTAAAGACAATGGAGTGTAAAAACAAACAGGCCCTATAGTACTCATGTATATAAAACTTGTTCTAAAGTGACCATACATAAAACATTATAATAAATACTAATTTATGGATGTTCTTTCATATATTAACATGACAATACAGAAAGATAAAACTGAAACTGGGGCATATGATAATGTATGTTTAGTTAGAACAAGTGATGGCATGAGCTAAAAGTGGTTCATGTACTTTATATAATATAAGGTATTTCTCCTTAATAAGTATCAAGCACCCCCAACTCACACACACACACACACACACACACACTCACATACACACACATGCACATGTATATACACACACACAAACACACACATTATTTCATTTGATGGTAGAAATTCACTCATTATCAGTTCATTAGATTTTTACAACATCAAATCATTACATACATTTAACTAGTAGTTGAGAAGAGCACACCTAACTTTTATCTTTTACATATTAATTACACATACACGACTGCTTCTTACCATCAGATAAGGACAGTAGATAATTATGGTTAGTTAATTGGAAGGCAAAGCTGTCTAAACCTCACTTTAAGTCTTCACTCTGAACTGTCCCATAACATGAGTAATCACAAACATTCAAAGTAGAAGCAGCCTCAGGGACCACCTAGTAAGATATCTTCTAATGATGAGACCAGAGCCAAGAGAGATGGAATGACCACCCAAATCCTTTAGGTTCCTGTCCTAATGTCCTGTCTAGAATGTATCACTATGCTATAAGGTCTTTAAAAAAATCAGCTATTTTTCAAGTCTTTCCAGACCAGAATTTTAGGTTTATATTTACTTAGCTGGGTTGGGGTGTGGTGAATAATTAAATTCAGTAGGAATGTTCTTCAAAATAAAAATAAAAACACAGTCCAGCCCCTTTGGCACAAACCCTGAGACCTCAGGAAAGAAAAACCTTTTTGACTTTGAAATTCATCAGAAGCTGGGTATGTTTTCCACACTTGACATAGGATGTTGTAGAAGGAGGGATTTTGAAATTAGATAAATGATACCTTGTTTTTATTAGTAACGGTGTACTTATATAAATAAACAATCCCCCAGGAAAGAGTTTAAGGAAAATATTTTTTCTATATACTACTTGAAAAGAAATACTTTTAAGTATTTCTTTACAATTGCTTTACTTCCCATTTTGTCATCCTTTTACATTTCAAGTCTGTCTGAGGCCACTGTATACTTTTAGGAAACTGGTGAGATGGTTTCATATGATACCTAATTGAAGTAATCCTTATTTGTACAAGGGTGATAAAATGAAGAAAAATATGCCCTCTTGTGGCTTATTTGTTCTGGTTCAAAACTAATCGACAGAGCTCTGCTATTTGCCCAAACCCAAACACACCTATATCCCAAGTGGAATGAAACTATTCCTTTGTGCAAACTAGCAAGCACAGGTCAGTTCAGACAGCAGGCTGGCATTCCACAACTTTTGCTTTGTTTAAGGTCATAGGCAGCTACTCAACCACAAAGAAATCAGTATCCACAAAAAACAGGGAATGGTTTTCCAAAATAACCCCAGATTTGTACAGATATGATCAAAATGCCTTCCATGTATGTGTATTAGATAGAATTTCTCTCTTTATACTTCAAGGTTTGTTTTGGATGAAGTTGAACCATCAGTTTCCACAAATAGGAGAAAATACATGATTTCCTTCACTACTGGGTTTGTGACTCTACTCTTTCTTTGACTCTGAAACCATGCTTATTTTTCCATTAAAATAGTACAATATGTAATGAAGCAATTTTGAGCATAGTGATTTTCATTCTCTTTCTTTCCTTTTCTTTTCACACTAGTTTATTCTTAAATAAGGAAGTAACAAGTGTAGTATAGGCCCTGGTTTTAAAGTATAGTTTTATAATGTTTTCAGAAAGATAAGACAAGACAAAGTTTAATGGGAAATGGTGCCTGCGTTAGTTGGTTTGTTTTCACTTTAACCAAATACATGAGATAAGGGGAACACTTTGTCTCCTACCTTGGGAGGCTCCCACCTATGACTGATCAATCACCTCTGCTCCTCTGCCTCTCTGGTGCCAGTGAATGGGCAGCATGTGGGGCAGGAGTGCGCAATGGAACAAACTCATAAGCTTATTTACCTTAATTTCAGCCCCATGTTTACTGTCATGCTTAAATTATTATTGATTTTCAGAAACCTTGCTATTCTGTTTCCTAGTTCTTACCAACTTATGTCAAGGAATTGAAAAGGCAGGTGAGGAAGATACCAGAGTACCACAATCCCCTTGACGACATGGCCGCAAGAACCAACAGACTTT